TATAGCAAGACTGAGTTCATCAGAAATTATTGATCGTGGTTTGTTTGTTCGTCTGTGTTCTCGCCAGATACATTCGAATTCCAATTCAGCATTCTTTTCAATAACTCGATGAACTTCTTTTATATAATCTTGATAAAATTGAGGAACAACACCATCCTTTACAACCATAATCTTTTCAAATTCTTCATCGGTCAATGCTAAAGCGGCCAATACTTCTAAAGATGAAGATGTGACACCACCTTTGTTTGCAGATGCATCTTTGAAAATTATAGCACCAGCTTGTTCTAAACGAATACGAGCTTCTTGAGTGAAGAATAAGTTGGCACCTTCGACAATATATTTGAATCTTGGTTTTCCATTCAAATCAAGTAACGCATTAACATTGTTAAGATCAACTGCTTCAGGTCTACCACCACAAGGAACAAAGAGGTCAGCAGATACGCTAGTTGTTAAATGGAAATTGTTACGGAACATTAAACCGTCTTCTACGACCTGACCATCTATAAAAAATTATAAATTTAAAAAGTAGTCAATATTGTAAATTAATATTATAAATTAATATTGTGAATCAATATTATAAATTAATATTGTGAATCAATTAATATTGTTAAATATTACTCACTTGGTAATTTCACATTTTGTTGATCTACCAATACTCTAAAACCTCTTGGAGTCAATTTTGATGTGTCAAAATGAGATATCATCATTCGATTATCAGCCAATCGTTTTAATTCAACACGATCAATAATTTCTGATGAACTCAGTCTTGCTATAGTTGAATTAAATGAAAGCATGCGACAATCAATCCTATGGCAAAACGCACCTTTAAGAAAGGCCGTATTAAGAGATGCTTTTCCACAATTACTTCTTGATAGGTTAGGACTAGATACTTTATTAGAAAGAATACCAGAGTCATATGTACGAGCCATTTTTGGTTCGTATTTGGCAAGTCGATTTGTATACAAATATGGTACACAACCATCACAATTCGCATTCTTTGAATTCATGAATCCATTTTATGCCAAAATTGACGATCATTATAGTTGACTTAATAATAATTATAATGAAAAACCTATCACCGTTAGAAAACCTAATACGAATTATACGAATTACATTTTAATTTTCTTAAATACGTTCATTGTATTGGTTTCAATAAGATTTTTTCAGTTGTGGACGTAGGTAGAATTCTCCAATTAGAAGAATGAACAATTATTTATTTATTTTTTTTTTTAGGATTTTTTGAAAACTTCATTAAAACATTTTCCATAATCACAAACAAACATATTTATACTAGTCTGTAAAAGGAGATGAAAAGAGTGAAAACAATGAGAAACATTGAGAAAAAAGTGAGAAAAAATGAGAAAAATGAAAAGAATGTGAACAATAATATAAAAGTTATCACTATGATTATTGTTATTATATATTGCACTTTTTTTAATTTTTTATAACTTTTATTCAAAAAAATAGATACAATATTACATCTAGTAAAAAAATAAATAAATAAACATATTAATACTTTTTTTCTTTTAATACTTTTGCATTTTAGAAAATTTTGGTTCCTAAAGTTTTACATGTTTATTATATATTTAATAATATAAATGATTATATTTGAATTAGATAAAACATATTAAATCACAGAAATTATCATTTGACACCAAATAGCATCACAGAGCTGCACAGAAATTACAAAATGATATCACAGAAACTGGTAAAAATTTATCCTATTAAATTACAAAATTTGTCTTAACCACATAAAGAATTTACGGAAATTATAACAGATCAATACTGATTAGCAATAATTGTCGCGGATCATAATTTAAAATGAAATCTACATTTTCTACTCAACCTGCTAACCTTCTAAAACCCATTTATACTTGTTTATTATAACTTTACTTTAAAACTAACCCCTAACCCTTAACCCTAAAAAATGCACCCCAAAAAATTTTATTTTTCGAGATTTTATATTTTGATCTGGATTTCATTATGATCCGTCACAATAATTACTAAACATATGAGTGTCGGCAAAAGAAAATGTACCTATCTAAAAATAGATCACTATAATAATCTATTTTTAGATAGGTACATTTTCTTTTGGCGACACTCATATACTGTATAACACCGGATCAGTATAGTATAGATTCCAAAATTCGGCCTATACTACGTATACTGATCTGCTCGCCTATCCTATACTATACAATACTAATCTGTGTAATTTAGAAATTTACGTTTAGCCTTAACCACTACAGAAAATCACCGTCCCTAATGACGACCCATATGATCAACCAATTATTTTTAAAATTGGCGATCACATATGAGTGCTGTCAATAGAAAACTTGTCATCTGGTTTTCAATATACAGTTAGCTTTCTACATGCCGTCTATGAACAATCTATCATCGAATATTCAATTATATTTCGTGCCTCGTATACGGTATGTTCGACACAATATATAATTGAATATCCGATAGTAGATTGTCCATAGACGGCATGTAGACAGCTAATTGTATATTGAAAGCCCGATAACAGGTTTTCTATTGACAACACTCATATAAACAATGATTTTTTTTTTGTTGAAGATCTCTTCACAATATAGTTTGGGGTACGGAAAAAAAATTAGGCATGCCCGTAGGGACGTGTCTTGAGCTGAGGCATGCCCCCATGCCCATGGGCATGTCTTTTTTCTAAATCATGTAACTGACATATAGTTCACGAGTTCACAATATTTTAAAAACCTTACTAGAAATTTATACTTAAGAGTATTTTAATTTTTAAATTGCATAACTTTTTACACAGGAGGTTTTAAAAAGAATGTATTTAGTGCCCTAGTCATGGCAAGAAAATTGGGTCACGTGCCAATGATCATCCGATTTATCCAATCAAATCATATTTTTTACAAATAAAAATCTTTAAAATTTTGAATAAAGATATCTTAATAACTATTTAACCAAATTTTGATAATATATATTTAAATTTTACAGATTTGTAAAATTTAATAAAAGATTTTTTTTATAATTTGGCAATCCTGCTTCTGTTTATTTAAGATTAAGCTAATTAAGAATTTATATAACTTTATAATTATTATTAATCTATCTAAACAAAAAATTTATTTGGTATTTAACATTTTGATGCAATTTGTTTTAGTAATTCTTGGTTTTTTTCTGAGATTTTAATTTACTAAGAATTTAAATTCTTTGGTTACTAGCTAATAGTTATATACTTATTAGCTATTATATTGATTACTTAAATCTAGTTTAATATAAAAATCTAAACTATAGATTAAAAAAACAAATAAAAAATATACAGTATACGGAGAAGAGTCAATAGAAAAAGAACAAATTTTTTCTAAGTAAAAGTTTTCTTAACTTTAAACTTAAATATATCAACAACTATCTAATCAAATTTAATAATTTATTTTTTATTTTTTATTTTTTATTTTTTATTTTTTATTTTTTATTTTTTATTTTTTATTTTTTATTTTTTATT